ACTCAGCCACCGGTGCCCGCACAAGGCAATCTCTCCTGCGCTGATTGACCTCCATAGACACGAGGCACATAGACTTTTATTCCTTAGCACCCTGCCGCCGGCAATCAGCAAACATAACCCCCAGTCACAAAACTCATTGAGATGATCGCGCAGACAAACGTGTTTCCGCCCCAGCCAGCAACCACGAGAGGCGCCTCGACGCTCCTCTCCTACGATGCCGTGAACAACCGGATCGCATATGCCGCCGGGAAATCGGTCATTGTCCGGTCCTTGGATGCCGCGGCATCACTCAAACCCACGCAGTTCACAAAACATACCGTCACGGCTACTGCTGCGGCGTTCAGTCCTTCGGGAAACTACATTGCCTCCGGCGACGAGTCGGGCCACGTGATCGTGTGGGACTCGGCTGTGTACAACAAAGAACACCCATTCGAGCAGCCGGTCATCAAGTCCGAGTTTGACGTGTTGGGTGGACCCATCAGATCCATCGCCTGGGATGCGGACAACGCCCGCATCATTGCCGTGGGCAGCGGCAAGGAGAAGTTTGGCCACTGCTTTACGTGGGATTCCGGCAACTCAATCGGCGAGATCCAGGGCCACTCGGAAACAATCAATGCCGTGGACATCAAGCCCCAGAGACCGTACAGGGCGGCCACTGTGGGCGACGACAAGTCCATGGTTTTTTTCACAGGACCCCCCTTCAAGTTCGACAAAAGCTCGCGGAACCATCACACAAATGCCGCTCGGGCAGTCAAGTTCTCTCCTGACGGGAAGTGGCTCGTAAGTGTCGGGGCAGACCGTGTCATTGTCTTGTACGATGGAAAAACAGGTGACTTCATAGAAAAAGTAGAGAAGGCACATGAAGGTGGAATTGCCGCCGTGGCGTGGTTTCCCGACTCGGCCTCCTTTGTGACAGCCTCTGCGGACAACACGCTCAAGAGATGGTGCCCTGAAGGGCTTTCTGAGAAGCAGAAGTACTCTGTCGCGTCGGATACATCTGTCGAGCACCAGCAGGTTGGTGTCCTCGTGACAAAAGACTACGTCTTGTCACTTTCTTTGAACGGCGAAATAAATCTTTTTCCGCATGACGGAAGCTCCCCGCCAGAAGTGATTTGTGGCCACCAGAAATCATTAACCAAAATCCTCGTGGATGGAGAATCCTTGGTCACTGGAGGCTCGGATGGCACTTTGTTCGAGCGAACAGTCACCGGCAGGGAGGTGACTTCTCTTCCCGTGCCATTCGCAAAGAACGAAGCACACTCGAACTACGTGGCGAGTATCAAGAAAATTGATGACATGACTGTAACCACAGGTTGGGACGATAAACTCAAGTCATGGAAGGAAGGCGAACTAGTCAACACTACGGACCTAGAAAGCCAACCGAAGAGCGTGGCTATTGCCAAGAACATTGTGGTTTTGCTTGAAAGTAAACTCCAGGTCTTTGACAACTCGCTCAGTCTCTTGGCAGAGCAGGAGCTCAAGTTCGTTGCCTCTTGTGTCGATTCCGTTCCAGGGTCAAACCTTGCGTATGTGACCAATGAGACAGACAAGAGACTTGAGGTCTTCGAGGTAGATGGACAGGTCAAGCATGTGCACTCGTACCCTACGTTGAGAGCTGCTCCCAATCTTGCAAAAGTCTCGCCAAACGGAGAATATGTTGCCGTCGCCGAGACAACAGGCAAGTACACCCTATACAGCACGAAAGATCAGACTGCCTTCACCACAAGGTGGGCATTCCATAGCAGCAGAGTCAATGGCGCCGCATGGACTGCTGACTCCAAGTTCTTGGTGAGTGGAGGGTTGGATTGTGGTATCTACGTCTACTCTGTGGCCAGGCCATCGAAGGTGTTGAAGACGCAGTTGACGCATCAGACTGGAGTGTCGGACTTGGCATGGTTGAAGTACGCCGATGCGAAAGGATCTTTCGCGAGCGTCGGGCTTGACGGGGTGACCAAGACGTGGGATGTTGATTTCAGCGCATACTAGATTGGCGGAAGTCCTGGCCCGAGACTCTGACTGCAGATCTTCTAACTTGAGTTTATACAAATGTATTACAAGAGAACGAAGTGGTGAGCAGAGGAAAGTGAATGTCAATTCTTTGAGCCGGATGAGCGAGCTCTGTTAAAAGATGGTGTGTTCCATGCAACATATTCTGTTCAGGAAAATGGCACGTACTGGTAAATGCACCCTTCTAATTTGCCCACTTTTTGGAAACGCGAGCATGAACAAGCCAGCAATTTTATGTGACTCACTTGCAAAAAAAAATACCATAGAATTACGGGCTGAGCAATGAGCAAACAGACTGGTTGCAATATTTGATGTTCCACCGCGCACTAGTACTAATGACCGCACGCAAGGATGGGAATGCTCTCAAGAAACTTGGGGGAATGCTTTATTGGCATAACTCCCTTGCTTATTCAAGTGCACGTGAAGACACACGCGCACACGCGTGAAGCCAGTCCAAAAAGCGACGCTGAATTGTGGCGAGTAATTTCAACCACTTTTATTAAAGAAACATCGTACTAAACGAGCGGGTGACTTGGGATGTCTCCGCACTGCACATAACCTTTGAGCTGTTATCACGTGTCATTCGCCTGATATCAGCACAGAAAAAGACCTCCTCATCTCTGTAAGGGGCCGTGGCGTGACTGGTGCTCGGATCTGGTGCGTGAGTCTTTTGTAACCGACACGTGGTGTTTGGGAAGCCGATGGAATTTCGACCTGAGCCCCCTCTTTAGTGCGATTTCAAGTGCACCTCCGGGCCAATCAGGCTTGGTGCTGCCACGCCTATTCATTTCTCGAAAGCTTAATTACGGGAATTTCGGAGAGACTCAATCCGGCATTGCAGACTGGTGCCAATGGTTTCAAACAAATCGATTCCACCAGCCATATCTGGCAGCTAGAAACAGGAAAAAAGCACATCCACCTTTCAGAAACACGCAACCAATCATTTCAAGCTGGTCCTATAAACCGGATGTTCCGACACCTCGGCGCCGCAAAAAAAAAGCATGCAGCTTCGACACGCCAAGGTTCCGTGCATAGCAGTGCATGCACCCTACCACCCCCGCACCCCTCAACAAATGTCGTCCCAAAAAAACACGCTATCTTATCGTCCTGGCACATATAACCCAGCGCTGGCTACCACTTTTCCTTTTCGTTTGATCACAAATTCTCCTGATTTTTTTTTTCTTTCTTGGAAACTGAATCTTAGCCGCCGCTGTTATCAACCGACAGCCCACTGCATCCCGGCAGCCGTATCTGTGATTAATCAGTCCACCTGCCGTGTGTGTCCACACCCCTTACTTTTCCCATACGCTACCCGCCGACCCCAAAAATGTCGGATTTCGAACTGAACAGAAAACTCGTGAAAGGAGCTTTGGACTTGGACCCCTGGTTGGAGCCTCACGCCAATGCTTTGATTAGCCGCCAATTGCAGTTCAAGCAATGGCAGGACACGCTCACCAAGTCCGAGGCCTCGCTTTCCGACTTTGCTTCTTCGTACGAGGTGTACGGGCTTCATGCCGACAAAACCACCAACCAGATTGTGGCCCACGAATACATTCCGGATGTCGTGAGCGTGTCTCTCGTGGGCGACTTCAACAATTGGGACACGGCAAGTCACGTGTTAGAGCGTGTCAATGAGTACGGGCTCTGGAAATTGGTGCTTCCACCCACACAAAGCGGGGATTTCGCCATTGAGCACGACTCTCGCTACAAGCTCTCGATGGTTCTCCCCTCTGGCGAGCGGATCTTCCGCCTCGACCCGTGGGGAACCCGTGCCACGCCTGCAAAGGAGAACTTTTTGTATGAGGGCCGCTTCTGGAACCCACCTGAGACGTACACGTTCCAAAACGCAAGACCCAGGTTTGAAGATCATGATGGCATCAAGATCTACGAGGCCCACGTGGGCATCTCGTCGCCCGAGCCCAAGATCGCGTCGTACAAGGAGTTCTCCCAAAAGACGTTGCCCATCATCCACAAACTCGGATACAACACCATTCAGTTGATGGCCGTCATGGAACACGCGTACTATGCGAGTTTTGGGTACCAGGTCACCAACTTTTTCGCGGTCTCGTCTCGCTACGGCACGCCCGAAGAACTCAAAGAATTGGTGGACCACGCGCACAAGTTGGGGATCCGGGTCTTGCTCGATGTCGTTCACTCTCATAGCTCGAAGAATGTCGACGACGGCTTGAACAACTTCAACGGGACCGACCACTATCTTTTCCATGGTGGTAGCAAGGGAAACCACGACTTGTGGGACTCGCGGCTCTTCAATTATTCATCCTACGAGACGTTGCGCTTCCTCTTGTCCAATCTCAAGTTTTTTGTGGATGTGTACCAATTCGACGGATTCCGCTTTGACGGTGTGACCAGTATGTTGTACAAACACCATGGGCTCTCTTATGGGTTCAGCGGTGACTACAACGAATACTTCAACCCCGACTTGGTCGAAAACGACGCGATAACTTACCTCATGTTAGCGCACAAGTTGCTCGGCGAGATCAGCGTTAAGAACGACAACTTCAAGTTTATTTCCATTGCCGAGGACGTCAGTGGCATGCCCACTTTGTGTTTGCCGATCGAGCAAGGCGGGATTGGTTTTGACTACAGGTTATCCATGGCCATTCCAGACATGTGGATCAAGATCTTGAAGCACTTGTCGGACGAGCAATGGGACCTCGGAAGCATTGTATTCACTTTGACCAACAGAAGGCACGGGGAAAAGTGCATCAGTTACTGCGAGTCGCACGATCAGGCCTTGGTGGGCGACAAGACCCTCGCGTTCTGGCTCATGGACAAGGATATGTACACCAACATGTCCAAGCTTTCGCCATTGACAGACGTTGTCTCAAGAGGAATTGCTTTACATAAGATGATCAGATTGCTTACTTTTGGATTGGGCGGTGAGGGCTATCTCAACTTCATGGGCAATGAATTTGGCCACCCTGAATGGTTGGACTTCCCAAGAGAGGGGAACAATGAGTCCTACCACTACGCAAGACGCCAATTTAATTTAATTGAGGATGACTTGTTGAGATACAGATTCTTGTTTGATTTCGACGCGGAGATGCTCCATTTGGATACCAAGTATGGGATTTTGAATGCGCCACAGGCATACGTGTCTTTGAAGCACGAGGGCGACAAAGTGGTTGTATTCGAGAGAGCAGGCCTCTTGTTCATCTTCAACTTTCATCCCACCAGCTCCTTCCCAGATTATAAGGTTGGAGTGGAGACTGCGGGCGAGTATCAGATAGTCCTCAATTCTGACACGGAGAATTTGGGCGGCTTCTCCCGAATCAATGATGTCACTGCCACGGGCGCTAAGATGAGTTTCGCGACTAAGCCAGAGCGTTGGAATGACAGAAGCAACTCCTTGTTCATATACATTCCTTCCAGGACGGCACTCGTGTTGCAATTGAAAGAAAAAGTGTGAGCTATATTCTATTAACGTCTGATCCATGCAGCGCTCCAGGAACAATCGGACTTACAAAAATAGACCTTTAAACTAAAAATTACGCACCAAACTAAGCTTCGACGAAAGAATGTAACGAAGCAGGACGGCTGTTTTCGGCTTTGTCCTCCATGAGATCTAAAATGTTCAGTCTTGTTTGGCACACGGAAATTACCCGTGCTGTCAAGTTCTTGAGAGTCTCAAAGCAAGGAGAGGAGGGTTCGATGAATCGAGAGGCTTGGCGCAATGAGTGGATGTTGATGGGCCAAATCCGCATGTCGGCATCGTATGTCTTCATAATCCCTGCAACTTCCCGGGCCAAGTTCTCGCTATATTTGTGTGGGTAACTGGCCCTTTCCTTCAAAGTTAGTCCAACATCTAGAACTTGCAATTTTTCCTCAAGCGCTGCATGAAGGAGAAGTTTGGCAAGCCGGAAGTTTATCGCGGTAACAACCGTTTTCTCGTCCTTGAAAAATATCTTGGGAAAGTCTTTTTCCTCGGCAGCAGGGATGAATATCAAAGGCTTGAGATATATCGGCATTCTTCTCTCAAACTCCTCAATCTTTTCCTTGAGAACGAGCCACCGATGGAATCTTTTGTTGGTCATGAAGTCCTCTTGTGTGATGACATCATACTGGTTGTAAAAGTCGTTCACCAAGATAAACAAGAAAGTGACTTTGTGAAGCCACCAAGTAGTTTTTTCATTGGTGACCACGAAGCTCGAGCAGTCTTCCACGGCATCTTTGATGCTGGTCTTTTCATGCAAGAAGGCTTCATATGAATCGTATTCATCATACCCAGGGTCCAACGATCTCCACATTTTCTCAATCGAAAAGGTGCATGGGCATTCAAGCTTTAGCGATAAGATGAGGTCGCACACGACTGTTGCCCAAAAGCAAGTGTAGTGGAAAGGCGACTGTTGCAATATCCCGCCCGACTTATCGGTACGGGCCATGATGGTTGCAAGAATCCCACCAGCACCCTTCACATATACGGAGTCGACGGCGACAAAAAACATCTCGTATATGCATAGAAGATTCGTGCTTATGAGGCACCGCGCAAGGATCTTCCCGTCGGGGTCCTGCGCCTTGTCTAAAGCCACGTTTTTGCCGACGGAGTACACACATTTCTGGTAATAGTCGTACGGGCATAATGCGTCAACCGACAGCGGGTCCTTGCGCTGCGAGATAAGCGAGCTTAGGCATAGCATGGAGTCGAGGATCATCCGCGTTTCATCAAATAGCGCCAATTCCGACACGATGATCTGGAAAAATTCGTGCACAAGAAATGTGTCGATGAACACGGCTATTTTATGCACAAAGAAATCAAATAGGTATCTTTCCAAGGGGCTTTTGAGCACGAGCTTGTACCTCTCCTTGATGTCCGCTCTTGACACGGTGATTCCCAAGATTTGCTGGAAATTACCATATGTCTCATCGAAGCTGTACTCTTCGGCCTTTACTTTGCGTTTCTTATGAGGCGCCCGCTTGAATGCAGTCAGGTCATTTGCAAGCTTGTTAATTTTCGGCCTTTTGTTTTGTTTTGTTTCTGTGGGCTTGAAGTTCACCCTTTCATCTAAGACATCGCCACTGTCATTGTTGGATTGTGTATAAAGACCTGCTGTAGACAGGTGCCGCAGATGTGCCGGTCTGAAATTGGCATTGCCGCTGACGGGCACAGAGAGAGTGCGTTTCATTGAGTTCCGCTGGCTAAACAATGCAGGGAACGAAGGCACCGTTTTGTTCACAGACTGAGTCTGCGCAGGCTGGATCTGCCCTATGGGGTAGTTTGATGCAGGGGCTTGTTCCGGTCTAGTTCTCAAAGCTGAAAGCTGAAGTTCGTCAGAGAGTTTGGGATTTTCGTTGAAGCCTCTATCCTCGGCTGGATATCGTATAGGTTGAAGTTGCGGCTGCATGTGCTGATGTATCTGCGGCTGCATTTGCTGTTGAAGTTGTGGCTGCATTTGCGGCTGTGCTTGGGGTTGCATCTGTGGCTGTATTTGCGACTGCAGTGTGTAATATGTGTTTGGAACACTCGGAAGAAAACTGCTTCGATCCGGGGCGTGTATGGGGCCTAACTGTATATTAAAGCCCCCATGTTGCAGCGCAGGTTCTGCGGGGTAATTTTGTATTGCAGTGTTCAGCGCATAGGTCATCTGTGGGTAAGGAGGTAGCGCTGGGGCCTGCAGTGCATTGTACGGAAAATGACCCAAATGCACGGGATCTGAAGAGGGGTCTTGCATCGGTCGCCTAAAAGTGGAGTGTCGAAAAGAATTGAGACCTGGTATAGAGCTGGGGGCAGGAATAGATCCCAATCCAGCTGGGCCCGGTCCAGCAGAGCCAATGTTGTTGATTGCGGCTGCATTTCCGTGGTGGCTCTGCATGTCGGTTTGGCTTGGTACGTTCCGTGCGCCAGACACACCTGAGAGACTTGGAACGTTATGAATACTTGGCATGCCTGGCATGCTTGCAGGAGCAGGCGTAGCTGCGTCTGCGTGGGTATAGGGCATCTGCTGAAAAGAACCCAGCAGCTGGTGGTCGGCCACATAGGAAGACGGGCCAAGCCCGGTGGATGGCGCCAGGGGCGTTTGCGTCGCCAGCGAATTGAACGACCCGATTGACTGAAGAGGGGTTGGAGCCATGATGGGTGCATGCGTCTGCACGGTGTCATAGTGGTGTTGTAGGGGCGTCAAGGACGCCGGGGCCATCGGAAGTTGTGTGGTAGTCGGCGCCAAGATTGGAGTCTGCGCAGTCGGGAGCGGAGCCTGCCGGGAGTATACGGGAAAAGACTGCAGGGGTGGTGCAGCCTCGGGCTTGTAGCCGTCATTGTACAGAAAGCCCATTCTAGGTGCAGAGAAATGGGATTTCGGCTCGAAGACACGTCGATACTTTTTGGCAGAGCGGCAGTTGAGTGGATTGTTTGACAGTGCAGGCCCGCGGCAGAAATCCCGGACGTGCACAGACGCGAGGCGCGGAACCTGTCTCGAAAGACGACCGTGCGTGGCATGCCTAAAATCCGAGAGCCACTGAACAGCCGGCCAGTGTCCGCACTGGGAGATATCTTAGCAGGTGCACTTTCTTACTTTGTGCCATCATCAGTGCGACAGTGTCTGGAGGGATCTCTATTGGGAGGGGTTTTGTGACATGTGCTTCAAGCTGGGGGAATAGGGGCGCCATGCGCCCACAAGATCAATGCACGAAAAGCGTGCCATATGCAGTCACGGTCCTTTGTGTGTGAGGCGGTTTCTGCAGACAAGGCCCAGGGGCGGCGTGGCTCCGTGTGTGGACGCTATCCTAGTGACTGGTTCTTTTTGTACGGCCCGACGCAAGCACTGCTGGCTATCTGAAGAAAGTGCAGCGAGACCGGGATGTCGGGTCTTTGGAGCGTCCGCATTCTGCAGTGCTGCAGCCAATTCGTCGGGGCCGGAGCGAAACTTCGCGCCCGCGGGTTTTGTCTTGCCGGGCTTTGGAGCACTCGGAGCAGGCGTTCCTATGTGCCGTACGGCCTAGTTGGGTGCTAATATCCCGAGCCATTATCAATATTCCATAAGGCTCAACCCGCCAGCCAATTCTTGAAGCCGCCCCGATTCCGTGGCAGCTCTTGGGATGCTGCCAAAAAAAAACAACACACACACACACACAAAAACACAGAAATAACAAGAAAAACAAGAACACAAAAAATTGGGAAACAATTCTGTCATTCCGTTATGCCAGACTGGCGTTTCTGGAGGGTGTGGGGCTGCAGCTCTCCCCGGCCCAGCGTTGGAAGCGGAATCACAAATGACAACCGCTTCTGGCAGCACCAGCCCCCGTGGCCACAGAAAATCTGACGGCCGTCATATTTGCTGCTCCTGGATAACGCCAACGGGGCCTTCCGGTACATTCGCCAACAAATGACCAAGGCCGAAGAAAAACACTTGTGCGTGGGTCGAGTTTTTTTTGGGTCTGGCAAAACTGGCGCTCCCGCCCGTGGGGCCTGAGCTGAGGGCCCGGCCCTAGGGTCACCAAAAAAAGTGCGCGTGGCTGCCCGCCAGGGCCGAAGCAGGAAAATGGGGCCAAGTCTGAGGGCCGACGGGGTTTGCTGGGGCCGCGCCGGTAGGGCCAGGCAGAGAAGAAGCAGGAAATGAAGCGGGGTGTCTGGGGCCGCGCGGCACATCACAGGGCCGGGCTTCCCCGACTTCCCGAGCAAGGAAGGGATTCTGTTTACTTATTTTTTGTCTTGTTGTTTGTCCCTTGGTGTTTGTCTTGTGTTTTTGTACCCTGCTGCTTGTCTTGTGTCCTTTGCTGTAGGTTCTTTGTTTGTGTTTTTGTTTGTGATCTTTGTTTGTGTTTGTCTTGAATCCTTTCCTATTCTTCAGAGAACTACTCACCAGACCCGGCACATCCTTAGCAGCATTCTTCGATCAACATTTGTGGTTTGTTTTTCCTCTCCAGTTTGTATTTTGCTTGTCTTTTGTCTTGTTCTCTCCCCGTTTTTTTTTTCGTCTTTTATTTCTGGAAAGCTGTAGGAGCCTTGTTTTGTCATGTCTTCATTCCTTAGTCTTTGTTCCTTGGTGATATGGCCCTGTTGTATGCGCGGTGCCGACTCTGGTGGCTGCAAAGACCATGCGCACGACCAACTGCAATGCTAGCTCACTGGGATTTTTGTTTACTAGAACTTTTGTTCACTGGGGTTTTTGTTCACTGGGATTTTGGCTTACTTGGATTTTGTTTACTGGGATTTTGCTCACTGAAATCTTGGCCCACTGAAACTATGGCTCATCTGCTCTTCTCCCCCAGGCTGGCTTATTCCAGGCTAATGAAGGAGTTTGAGGATGGACCATTTGACCTAGCGCGAAGCACGAAAGTTCCATATAATTAGTAGAGCACCGTTCAGTATAATTTCCGGGCAGCGGCTGGTTTTGGTGAGAGATGTGGATGAGCGGGGCCAGAAGTGCAACTAGCGGCAGAGAGCACAGATGTTTGTTTCATTTTGAAACACTGTACCCGCGAGCGTTTTTGTGTTTCGCCGGCCTTGCCAGTAAGGTGCCTAGAAGTTGCAATCAAATGGCGGTGGATGCTATAAGGAGCTCTTTTTGGGAAAGGTTGCTTAGTTCCGGCCCGGCGCCGGCCGATTTCGGGCCAAGTCGTGACCTCATTGTTTGTCTCACGTTAGGCCCCATTTCTGGCCTCATTTTGGGCCCCGTGTCTGGCCTCATTGTTGGTGTTATTTCTGGCCCAGTCCTGGCCTCAATCTTGGCCCCACTTTTAGCCTCATCTCTGGTCTCATTTTTGGCTCCAAGCTTGGTCTCATTTTTGGTTTCATTTCGGGCCGTGTCTGGCCTCATTGCTGGCGTTATGTCTGGCCCCATTTTGACCTCATATTGACCCCATTCTTGGCCCCATTTTTGGCCCCATTTTTGGCCCCATTCTTGACCCAGTCCTGGCCCCGCCAGTATGCGCTTACGCGGCGCCGCGCGCCCCCGCCCGCCCCACCCTAAACCGACCCGCCCAACACAACACTCCCTTCTCCTACCATCACCACATGCAATGGCCGACAAGGAGCTTACGGTGTTCCTCCTCGACGCGGCCGTGCCCGCGGAAGCATACAGCTACGTGTTTGACGTGTTGGCCGCCAAGCTCTTGAAGGGCCGCAAAACAGACTATGTGTCCGTGGCCACCTACAACTCAGCCGCCACCAGCCACGCCTACAAAGACACGGACAAATTCGTGGGCATCGAAGTCTTGCTTGACTTCCAGACAGCCACGTTCCAGAATCTCGCGCGGCTCCGCGAGCACCTTTGTGCGGCGGCCGTGTTGAATGCACATCCCCAGGCCGCGTGTGCCGACGTGGTGCAAACGGTGCTTTTCGCCTCGACGCTTTTTGGCCCCACGCGCGGGAAGCTGTTCACACGGAACATCGTGCTCGTGGCGCCGGCCCACGATGCGGCGCCAGAGGGCTCGCTGGCCAGCCTCGCCGCTGTGCCCAGGTACTATGCGGACTACGCCATCTCGCTCACCGTTGTGCTAGCAGACGGCGCGTGCCGCTTGCCCGAGGCCTCGGCGGTCGGCCGGCTCCGGCACATGTTTCCGGAGAGCACGGTGGTCCCGGTGGCCGAGGCCGCAACGTTGTGTTGGCAGCACCCGGCGATCCGCAAAACCAGGCCCGTGGCCTTGTACATGGGCGACATGCGGCTCGGCTCCGACTTTGCCCGCGTCTTGGACGACACCTCCTATAGCGCTCGCACCGACGACAGCTGTGTGGCGTTCCGCGTGGAGGTCCATGCCGCGGCAAGGGCCGACACGCACCTGCTGGATATGCACGAGTACCTAGTGGACTCGGACCTTTCCATCGCCAAGGTGGACCAGGCATCAGCCCACTTTGCGTGGGAGCAGGGGCCCGCGCCAGACGCCAAAACCACCGGCGCACCGCCCGCCACCGACACGCCGCCTGCCACCGGGGCGCCGCGCAAGGTGCCGGTGGCTCTGCGCTCGCTCACGCCGGCGTTCAAGTTCTCCAACTTCGACTTGGTGGCCTTGGACCCGGGCTTGCAGCGCGCAGCGGCGTTGCAGCTTTTCTCGGCGCTCGATGTCTTCGGCTTCATCCCCGAGCGCCGCGTCTCGCCAGAGCTTCTCACGGGAGAGGCGCTCTACGTGACGCCCGACAAGGCGTCGTCCGTGAAAAACACCCTCGGTTTCCAGGCCTTCTGCGACGCGTTGCGCACTCGGAAGCTAGCTGCGCTCTGCCGCTTCGTGCGCAAGCAGGAGAAGGAAGTGGAGGTGGGCGTGGCGTACGCGGTGCGGGTCAAAAGCTCCCTAGGCCACACCAGCTGCTTCGTCTTCGTGCGCTTGCCGTACCGCGAGGACGAGAAGATCGGCCGCTTCCCCCTGCTTTCGGGCCCTGCAGATGCGGCCGAGCCCCAGCCGCCCGCTGCGGCCCTGTTGATGGACGCGTTCGTCAACGAGAAGACCTACGAGAGCGACCACGAGCTGTCCGAGGAGCTGGCGTCCCACGACGTGGCGCTCATTGACAACTTCAAGGTCACCATGAAGACCGGCGACAGCTCCAAATTGCCGCGACCGCCCGTCCGCAAGGGCTACGACCCGTTCATATGCTCGTCACCCTCGGCCGCCAGGCACCAGGCACACATGCGCCAGATCCTCCTACGCTCTCTCGGCGCCGCCGACTGGGTGCGGCACTTCGACAACCCCCGCTTCGTGGCCGACAACTTGCGGGGCCTGGCCCTGTCCACCAACTTCTTCAACTTGCGCAACTGCCTAGCGGTGAACTCGCAAGCGCTGCGCCCCGACTGGCTCTTGGACTTGGCCCGCAAATCACACGACTCCAGCAAACGGCTCGCCTCCGAGTTGGGCTGCACATACGTGCGCAAGGCCGACTCGAAGAAGGCAAAGACCCAAGCCAGCGCGGCGCATCTCCGCCAGAAAGGTAACTACGGCGCAGACGAAGGCGACTACGACGAAATCCCGGATTTTGGGTTCTGAGAACGGCCCGGAACACTGCCCAGAACACAGCAGGGCTTTTGCATGTGTGGCCCTGCGCACATGGCCGACTGGAAGCCCGCCACTCTATGACCTGGTCTTCCGCGTATCAACCAGCCGGCCTTCGGTCCATCACCAGCCGGTCTTCCGCTCATCACCAGCCGGTCTTCCGCTCATCACCAGCCGGTCTTCCGCTCATCATACGACATGGCCTCCCGTTAATTAATCTATTTACAACTTGAAGAGCTGGTTCCGAATATCAAACTCGCGGTCCTTGGCCGTCCGGTTTCTTGCCTTCGAGTTCCCCGTGCCGTCTTCCCCGAGACTGTTGATGATACGCGTGTGGACGCCCGAATCCTTCAACCTCTCTAGCTCGCTCTCTATGGTCTGCTTCATTTCTGTGGAACTGACCTCCAAAATGGCCGGCACGTCGAAAAGACCCTTGAATTTGCGCAGCTTCCCCTGGCGCCACGTGTTGGTCCAGTGCTGTGCCATCCCCAACTGATCCCACGACCCGTCCCGGGAAACCCGGCCCTTTTTCTTGGCAATGTTGTGAAGAAGCTCGTGGATGTCGTTGGTGGGGCGGTCCATGAACTCGGCGTAGCCTTCGCCATTCTTGCTCTGGAGATTCAACACGTACAACAAGTAGTCGGCCTGGATCACGGGATCCACAAACGACTCCTGGATACACCCGACAAGCGACAACGCAAGCATGGTCTCTGGATCCTTCACTGTGGGAAGAAACACCCCCGGCGTGTCGTAAACAAGCAAGTCGGGGTCCCTGCTGAGACGGATGATCTCACTGGTGTTCCTGGTGACGCCCGGCTGGCCGCCTGTGCGGGCCACTTTCTTGTTTTTCTTGGAGCTGATGCCTGTCGGTAGTTGCGAGGAGTAGCCCACGGAGCGCAATGTGTTGACCAACGTGGATTTGCCCACGTTCGGCATGCCGATGATCATGGCCCGGAGCCCCAAAGGAGGCGGCGGTTTCATCTGGCTGTAAAAAGCGCCCACGGCGTCGAGGATCCGGCGGGCGTCTTTCGGGTTACGTGTGTCTACAAAAAGAAATGGTTCGTTCTGGTGCCACTTCCTGAGAAGCGCTGGTTTCATGATCGAAAGGTCCTTCTTGCTGTACAAGATGATTTTCTGCTTGCGTGCGAGCACCCGGTCAAAGAGCACATTGGTGGTCGATACGGGGGCCCGCGAATCCCGGACCTCGAGAATGAGGTCGATCTGCGGCGCCAAGTGGCCGAACTTGGTGAGGGCTTTTTGGTGGTGGCCTTTGAAGCTGGCAAGCGTGAGCCGATAGTCGGGGAATGACGTCCGGGGCACGAATGTCATGGTGTAGCCGGACGGTGTTGAGGAGCGTAAAATTCTCAAATGTAAATCAACGGACAGCACGCGAAACCGGGTCTCACAGGTGTGTTTTATGGCACCAATGTTCCAGAGATGTGAATGAAAAAGACCAATGCATCGATGGGGCCTAGTGTTGGAATGGCGCGACAGGGCCAGAGCGAGACAGGGCCAGAGGCCAGAGCGAAACGGGGCCAGAGACAGGAATGGCGCCCGAAGCCCGCAATAAACATCCGCGTGGCTCCACGCACATTTGAAGAATTAGGGTTTTTTTGGCGAGAATTATCTCACAAGGAACTCAAGATTCCCAGGAGCCAAGCCTTGTCTGGGTGGGTTTCAATTCGACGTGACAACCCAAGATGCAATCTCGATATGAATGAGGCGCGGGGACCGCGGCCCCATTTTTCGCGCGGTCTCCCAAAACCGGGCCCCATCGCTGAGCGATCGGCCGAAAGTTCTGACAACCCGACACAACACAAGAAAGCTTCACTGAATATTCAAGTATGCCCTTGGTCACTTTCACAGGACCGCCGTGCAGCGGCAAAACACGCTGGGCCAGGCAGCTCATCGAGCAGCTCGAGCAGCGGATCGAGACGGCAAGAGAATCTTTGGCCCCGGGCCACAACTACAAAATCGTCTATCACAGCGACGAGACGCTTGGCATCGACCACCTGACATACCGGGAGTCTGCCACTGAAAAGCACGCCCGCGGCACGCAGCTCTCGGCCGTGAAGAGGGACCTTTCCCGCTCCACCTTCGTCATTTTGGACTCGCTTTCGTACATCAAAGGCTTCCGCTACCAGTTGTTTTGCGAGGCCAAAGGCGTGGTGACGCCACACTGCGTGATACAGGTCATGACCCCGATGGACAAATGCCTTGAGTGGAACGAAGAGCGCAGTACTGGCGACAGCTGGGATGCAGATGTCATGAGGCAACTTGCCATGCGGTACGAGGAGCCCAACGCCGACTCGCGCTGGGACTCGCCGCTCTTCACCCTCGTTAGCGACTATGAGGGCGAGCTGCTCCCCATGGACCAGATCTGGGAGGCGCTAGTTTTGAAGAGACCGCCGCCGCCCAACGCCGCCACGCTAGTCAAGCCCACTTCTGGCAACGACTACTTGCAGGAGTTGGACCGGCGGACGCTGGAGGTCATCTCCAAGGTTGTGCAGCACCAGCAGTTGACGTCTACGGGCGGCCGAGTGGTGGTGGATTTCGCGGAAGGGTTGTATGTTGAGATTCCGGGAGACGTGGTGAGTATAGCGCAGTTGCAGAGAATCCGGCGCACGTTTGTGAGCTTGAACCGGATGAGAAGCATTGACGTGGGGCGCATAGCGAGCATGTTCGTGGAGTACGTGAACAAGAGCTTGAACGAGTGAGCGGGCGGTGGTGGTGGGTTCTGGCCGCTAGTGGTGAATTCTGGTGGTGAAACCTGGCGCCGGACTCCAGTGGTGAAACCGGGTGCTGAAATTTAGTGGTTGTGAAGCCTGGTGCCGAGATTTGGTGGTGCATTCCGAGATGCATTCTGTCTGTGCATTCTATCTGTGCATTCTATCTGTGCATTCTACTAAATGCCCCGGGTAGGTCTTGAGGTCCGGTGAATTCAAGCTGCGGATGGCTTCCTAACGAAACGCCTTTGAGCCAGTGCAAGCCAACTATTTGCTATATACTGAAAAAGAGCTGAACAGGAGCTGAACACTTTGCAAGGGCTGGAAACCATATCCGGAGGCGGGGCTGTGTCGAGAACAACTCCTGTTGTCTAACCGCCTAACACGGGACACACACCCCCTGGAACAAAGCGGCTGTCTCATCCACACGCATGAAAATCGGCCATCCCATCCCAGGCGGCCGTCTTTTCCAAAACCGCCCGCAGATTCCCCGGGCAGCCTGTGGTGTGTCACATCCGTCTCCCAAAACCCCGGTTGGCCCCGTCTGTGGGCCCAGGTCCTCAGAGGCCCGTCTACTTCTTCCGCTCGTTCTTCCACTTGAACACCACGTTGCCGTCGTCGTCCACGAGCTTCTTGCGGTTGCCGTTTTTCATCAACTCCCGCGTGATCTCCAACTTCTGCTCCACCTCCCTCAACTGCTTCTCGCGGGTCATTCTCTCCTTCAATAACTTGAAGCGCCTCAACTTCTCCTTCTCCAAGTCGGCGCGCTCGTCCGCATCCAAGTCTTGCCTGAGCACCTTCTCGTTGGTTTCAAGCTGGTCCACCCTCATTCTGTTTTCCCGTCTTTCTAGCATGGACTCGTCCGTGTTGAAAAAGCGGGCCGCGTCAAACAGCTCCGCGTCGTGCTCCGTGTCCACGAACACCGTGTGCTTGCCCTGGGCCTGGAAGTCCAACGACTTGCGGAGCTTGTCGGCCTTTTGCGATTCGTTGAGTCGCATGGTCCGCACGTAATTGACGTCCTGCGACTTCAAGAGCTTCATCTGCCCAGTGGACAAGTTCTCGTTGCCCCGGTCACGCACAAGGACCCCGTGCTGGTCCGTGCGTTTTTTGGTCATCGCATGGTAGTATTCGTCCGGGTTGTACTGCGCTGCTTTTTGCTTCAACACCTTCAAGGCTGCCTGCTTCCTGTGATGGTCATTGGCTCTGAGCTTATAATCCTTCTTCTTTTCTAGGAGCCCGAAGCGTGCCCTGTCGGAGGTCTGCGAGCGCTCCTTGTGTTGCTTTTTCTGCACGTTGTGGACGAGTTTGGCCATTTTGCTGGGTGCTGGGAGACGTTCTCCGGCCTGCCGGCTTGAAAAATGTGCCTCGCAATGCTCATCGTGGTAGTGCATATCTGAACCGTCTCTGCGCGGGCGAGCAGGCAGATAATGAGGAGCTTGCGAAATCCGTTATTTTGCAATTCCAGACTATCGCGGCTGCAACGGCAGCTGCAGCCACCGCCACCCCCAATTCCAGGGACACGTTGGCCAGACCGCCGCTCTCCACTCGGCCGTCGGGCCCCGCCGCCCGGACGAGCCGGACTTTACGGGGTGTGCCCGGACGGGCCGGACTTAATGGCAGGGCCTGCACACAGGCGCCCGCGCCCGCCTCTGCCCGCCGCTCCATCTTTGGCTGTCCACGGGCCTTCTTCTCGGCCACCACCACCATGTTCACCCTTCTTCGGACGCAGCGAGCCGCGGCGTTCCGCGAGCTCCGGGCCGCCACACTCGGCGCCATGGCACCCCGCGCAGCAAAGCTCCGCACGGCCGTTTCCCCGCCCGCAAACGGACCCGGGACGGCGGATCAGGCCGACTTTCCACCGGCTACTCCAGAGCCCCAGCGGGCGCCTGCGCAGGCGCCGGCGGACGCCGATCTTCCGTGGTACATGCGGGAAGACATCAAGTCGCCGCTCCTCGACGAAAAAAAAACCGCTGTGCCGCCGGTCCCGGCCCATGCGCCGGCCCATGTGCTGGAGTTCCTCGGCCTCTTGGCCTCCGACTACGGCATGGACAACTTGCTCCTTTTCGACATGGCGGACCTCGACGAAAACCACGAGTACAAAGCCAACAACCGCGGCGTCGACTACATCATCATGGCCACCGGCAAGTCGGAACGGCACATTCTCAAGGCCGCCACGGAGTTCCGCACGCACATCAAGCACAAGTACCAGGTGTTGCCCGGCACGGAGGGCTTGGTGTCGACCGCCAAAACGCCGGCCATGCGCCGCAAGCTCCTCCGCAGGGCCCGCAAGGGCCCGTCGTCCACCGACAACGAGTACGGCCGCGCGGCCAACAGCTGGGTGCTTTTCCACCACGACTCTGTCGACGTGCACCTCATGACCGCCGACCGGCGCCAGGACTTGAACTTGGAGGCCATCTGGTGCCGCGCGGAGGACTTGCATTTGTACGAGCAGACGCCCGCGCCGCCCGTGGACTCCGACCATATTTTCTCGGGCGTCCGGTATCTCCACACGAGAGCAGGCCCGAGCCGTGGTCTCCATGCCGATGCCGCAAACGCGTCCCCCAGCGGCCCGGCGTTGGCCCCCGAGCGCCACCTCGAACGCTTGCTAGCTCAGCCGGCGAATGTCGGCCAGTCCACGCTCACGCGTCTCAAGGAGCACTTTGACACGGACTTCCGGGGCCTGGGCCTCCTGGACTTCAGGGCCAAGTACGCGTTCTACAAAGCCGTGCACTTGCACTGCCCCGAAGCGGTGTCTTTCGACGACGCCGAGGCGGCGCTCTTGGAAAAGTACGCCTCTGCGGCCGCAGCCGGCGACATGGCCAGGGAGAAGATCGACGACGTCACGGAGTACGCCAAGCTTCTTCTCGACTCGCCCGCCATCGGGTCTGGCTGCCGCGAGGACTCGGACGTCGCGTTGGGAAAGCTCGCAAGCTTCATATCCGTGCTCTACCGGTTCTCCTCCGACAGGTTCTGCATGGCCGCCAACGCGGCCTTCATCCCTCTCCTCTGGCGATTGACGTTCTGGGATACGGGCGCAATGGTGACCCCGCGCCTCGTGGACCAGTTTGTCTGCGGCCGCCAGGTCGCTCACACGCCGTCGGGCGAGCCGCTGGTCACGCTCGCCTCGAACAATGCCAGAAACGTGCTCACCTTGCTCGACTTCCACAACAAGACGGCCGGGACCGGAAGCTGTCTCACGCCGCAGTTCAAGGAGGCCTTGATGTACACATACGGCAATGCGGGGAAGTGGGACGACTTCTGGGACGAATGGAACAGCGTGTTTTTCCCGGACTCCCCCGGCCCCGCCTCTGCCTTGACACAATGGGTGCGCCTTGTTGTCTTCCTCCTGCTCGTCGGCAACCGCGCCCAGAATCTTCATTTCTTGAACTTCTACTGGAAGACCGGCTCTGCCGTGAGCGGCACGTTCACTGAGTGCTTCGAGGCCAACGGCCTGAAGTTTGGCTCTGCTGACGAACAGCAAGCCTTCTGCAGAGCCATGGGTCTGATGGTCGACTCCTTGGACCCCAGTGGCGATATTTATGTCGAGTTACGGGCACGGCTTGTTGAGTTGGCTTCCACTGACTAGGTGTCGTCAGTTCCACGTTTACGTTGTAAATAGACTCTTTTTGGTAAAGCCGTCCGCTTTCTGATTGGGCACGCCCATTCCCAGAACCCCCGGTCCATGTTTATCATCGTTCTGCGTACTGGCGGCGATCTGAATGTGTGGGCGCCCCTCTCTTTTGTTCCTGGCCTGGGTTGACCCGCCATTCCCGTGGAACCTGTTGGAGCGACTTAGTTTTAGAATATCTCTCGCACGACCAGACTGCAAGTCCAGGCTTCTAAGCCATATTGGACAAGCAATCGCCTGTCCCGAAAGCTTGCTGCTAGGATGGGAACACAGATTCTTCTCTGCAGAAAAACGGCTTAAAGCTGCCTCTACTAGATTTCAGAACATCCACCATATAGAAATACAGACCACTGCGCCACCATATCAGCCATGTCTTTACAGCTAGCGCATGTCACTGCCAATTCTAACCAATATCCACTGTTCTAATAATAGTAGCTGCGGCGCTGGCGAGACGGAATCTACTTCACCAACTGTATGGGTGTCGTTTTCAGCTGCACTGCCGAACCTTTCCCCTTACTTTATCAGCCAGAAATTGAGCCTAGGCTATTTTATCGCCATCAGTGACAGTGCAGTGAACTGAGATCCGGAACACACTTTACATTTCGAGTAAAATCTCATCACATTCCTTTTCTTTACATCTTTTGAATTTTTCTTTGATATGATTAAAGGGACTTGAACCCTTGAAATAATTAGACCCAAACTAATCGCGTAGACCTATTTCGCCATAATCATATTTCGCATGCAACGTGATTCGAACACGTGGACTTCATAGGTCTAAATAGCTCAGATATTATGCTTCAAACGTTTCATACCATGTGCACGCATAACATCTTCAAAAACGAAGTTATGCCTCAAAACAAACGAGGCAGAGATGTCCCCTCTCGTGTCGCTAAGCTATAATGATGACATTCCTGAAACACCCCCGTCGCAACTGAAGCCGACGCTTCAACTTCTGCCCCGGGTCCGAATATTTCTTTCGTGCATTAGCAAACAAGCCGTACAGGAATGTACTGACATCATTTCGACTTCGGCTCCGCCAATCAGACTGCCGGAACCTGCCGCAACCTGCCGCAACCTGCCGCAACCTGCCGCAACATCCAAGGTCTGCGGCTGCAAACACTCGGTCCCGGCCCCTGAGTCCAGCGTGTTCCCCAGAATTCAGGTTCTGAAACAAACCTGAAGCAGCTCGAGACTTTGCCCCCGATCAGCTCGAAATTCGGGGCCTGAGCTCCATGTTTGCCAACCTCGTCAATTCGGACCTCGTCAATTCACTCAGAAAACCTCGTCAATTCACTCAGAAAACATCGTCAATTCACTCAGAAAACATCGTCAATTCAATCCGACGACTGGTCTGGTCTTCGCAATTTCGCAACGGCCTCCAGCCGCACGTGCGCACACCCGTGCCTCCGCCGCTTGCGCTCGCGTATACCCCGGAATTCACATCGGAGACGCGTCGCGTAAAAAGCTCATCTGCTCGCTAGCAAGACATACGGTTTTCCACAACATCCTCCAACATGTCAGGCCTCCTCGAGCACAAACTCCGGATCAAGGAATGGGAGCGCGGATTTGCAGCCAAGCACGGCCGGGTTCCGTCAAAGGCTGACGTCAAGGCAGACGTGGAAATATGGAAGGCGTACAAGGCGTACAATGAGATGAAAAAAGCTTCTCGGCCAGCCAAAAGAGAACCAGACCACCCTTCAAAAAATCCTGAGGGCCAGCGGCTCAAAGAGCAAGACTCTGGCAGTCAAAACACCGAGAACGGCGTGTCCGGGAACCCCATGAAATCCAGTCTCCTGCAGATCCCCAAGCCGGAACTGAAAGAAAACAGCCAGTCGACACAGCAGGAACGAATCCACGAGAACTCCTCATTCATGTCTTCAGTGAACGTCATTCTCACGGATGACGAGGAGTTCGAGCGCGTTATGCCCGTGCAAAACGCAGAGTTGGGCCCCACCCCGCAGGCAAACGGGAAGGTGCTCTCTATCTTCGACTTGATTTTGAGTCCCCCAGAATCCTCGCTTGTCAAGCAAGTCCAGGGAAAACCAGGCCTGTTCTTGCCCCTGTCCAGTCTCGGCCCAACCAGCCCGTTCAAAACACCCACGAAATCGGCGAGACCCATACACTTTGGCGACGTGACGCCGTCGCGTGGGCCCAGCGTGGCGGAAAAACTACGCATGGTCTCGTCGCCGGCAAAACTGGCGCAAACCCCGACGCTGCTAGCCAGACACGATGTCATCGAGACGCCGCGGTACCTCGGCAAGGTCAACAGCAAGTTCTCATTCGCCAGTCAGCATTCTCCGTTTCAGGCTTCCCCCAGCAAGCAGCACATCTTCCAAACACCCACCAAACCCACGCCCATCGAAAACTTTCAGGTTTCGCCGTCGCCATTGAAGTCCCAAAGACTACTCCTGAGTAGGCTCTCGGATATTTACAACGCGCATCAGAAATTGGCCATGGACGAGGAGTACGCGGCCCAAAGAAAAGAATTCGAGAAGGAGTTCGAGGTGGACCAGCCGGAGCCCCAAGGCCAGGCGCCCAGCTCGGAGAACATCAAGGACATGCGCAAACGGAAGAAAGCCACCACCCAAAAACGAACCACGCGCAGGTGGAAAATCAAGCCACGGACCGAGGACGGCCAGAATGAGGCTTTTGACGGCAAGGATGTGCACGAGGAAATAAAGAAGCTCGAGACTCAGGAACGGCTGGAGTTGGCCCAATACATCGACGGCGAAGTCTCTGCCGAAGAGGCTTCCGACGAAGAAGAAGAAGTGGTGGTACGCAAGAAGCCAGCCAGTACCAAAATCAATCCGGTGAGCAACAATTTCCAGCGGTTGAAGATCAACGACCCGAGAGCCAAGAAGTTCAAGCAAAGAATGCGGAGACGGTGAGTCTATGCTGGCGTATGTTTGCTCTTGTTTTGCGGCTTTTTTCTTCTTCTTTTTTTCTTTTTCTTTTGGATTCTTGTTTCTCCGGGTATATATCATCATGAATACATGGCGGCCACGAGTTCGGCATTGTCCAACTTATTTTGCTGTACTCTCTCCCGAGCAGGAGAGTCTGGTGTAAGATCGGACTCTGAAATGACCTTCTGTGGTATGTACACGGGTTTCTCCCATTGCTCCTGGTCCTTTTTGGGATCCCATGTGTTTTTCGAAAGCACAGCCTCGTGCAGAAGCTTGTCCAGATTGATGGTTTGCTCGAGCGTATTGATCTCGTCCTCCTCGGCAACACTGGCCTCGTCATCAATGACTTGTTTCTCCACCATTTTCACCTTGCCGTCTCTGATCACCATCTCCACCACCTTTTTGGTGCGGCCCGTGCGGGCTTTCTCCTTGGACTGGCTCTTTCTGAGCTGTTTCTGTTGCTTCTTCAACTGCAACGCCCGTTCCACCGGCGACAACCACATGCTGCCACTCGATACACCTGGCATCTCGAAATCAGAAGCATTATCTATGATCTTGGACCTCTCAGCGCCGGTTTCCTGGAAGTGAAGCAACGTCTCCAACCGTTCCTGCGCCTTCATAAGCTCAGGGTTCTTGTTCTTGGACATCTGGTAGTGCTGAAGCTCCTTTTCCTGCTCCTCGACTTCGGCTCTCTCTTTCTCTTCCTTGGCCTCGAGCTCTCGCTGTTTCTTTGCATCTTCCTCTAGTTGCTTCAACGCAGCGTCCTGTGCCTTCCACAAGTTCCCACCCGGGGTAGTTCCGTACTTGATTTTCTTTGGTGCCAACTTCGAAGGCTGGTTTTGCACGGCCTTGTTCGATGGCTCGGCACTCTTCAGCTCCATGAGGTCTTTCTCAGAGCGAAGAATCTTGATGATTTCACGCTTTTCGGTCTCTGAAAGTAGTTCTCTGCCGCACGAGGAGCAAGGCTGAAGCCCTTCCTTTGAGCATATGATTTTGCCGCAATTAAGACAGTTGGGCGCCACCTCGAAGAGCGGGTGTCTTGTCGCCATACAATCACACACGCGCCTGGAGTCACTGTCAAGATGGAAAGAAGACTTTGCGTTTTCCACCTCCAAGTCATTGATTGCTGCCTCAATATCGGCCAAACTATCAAGGTTTTTCTTTTTGGCTTTCTTAGCCTGGCTGTTCGTGAGTTTGTTCGAAGGTTTCATGTCTGCAAGTTGCGATGTCGTCACTGCAATCTTGTTCTTCAGGAGCCTCGTTTTCGGAGCCTTGGAAGATATGGGCTCGCTGTTGCTCCATGCTGGAGCATTGCTCTTTTTAGGAATAGGCTCAGAGGATCCTCTCTTTGCCGCAGCCTTGCTTGTCTGCTTCTCAGTTTGCATTTTCGAGAGCTCATCCTCTGTCCTTTTGAGATCCATGAACTTCGAAATCAACTTGAAGGTTTCATCGCTAGGGCCTAGTAGGTCCAAAAGATGGGTCTCCATCTCGTAATCTGGTAGGGTTAGTGTGTAGTTGACCAACTCCTCGCATGTTTCCTTATCAAGAGGGATGATCTGGCCCACATGACTAATTGCGTAGGCCCGGGCTTTCTCGTATGCCATGTTGCTGGGTAGATCAATAAAAAGACGATGTGCTTGAACAAGATTTTTCGCGACCGTGTGATGACGCAGTATTCAATTCGCTCAAATTTGGCTCGACAAACTAAGTTCTTACTCCAGCAGAATACCTCTGAGTATGCCACCGAAGGCGAAAAGCAGCAAAGACCCCGAAGTACTACTGGCACGTGTGCAGGACGATACAAATGGCATCTCGCTTCGCCATGAGCGCATCTGTTCCCAACTCATGTGAACCATTTTCGTGAGTCTCGAGTACCTGGGTTTTCATGTCGAACTTGGAGTCCAGCGAAAGCAGGCTCCGGTGTGTATACGCCGAAATTGCCCTCCTCAAGCGAGATATTGAGTTCAAGAAGGGGAAATTAAGGCAGCCCGCGGGTCATTTTGCACCAAGTGCCCCCAGCATAGAGCGGCGATGGCTGCTCCTGGTGCCCTTTAGCAATGACATAGGGCGCAACATGCAAACAGGGGCTGTTTCTGGCGAAACCCAAGAACAAAACGGGTATGTGATCGACCACAAGCGGCGCACACTCATGACGCCACGCGCAATGAAGCGCGTGCAAGAAAAGCGCCAGAAAAGCCGTGAAACTCTCGCCGTCCGGAAAGCCCAGCTAAGGGCTGAATGGGACGCGAATCAGTGGGTGGAATTCACGCAGAAAAACGCCACGGAAACCGACGCGTGCGACCGCGTCAGGATAGGCACCGACGTGTTTGGCGTGAGTTCAAACGGCACGCGGCTTCTTCCAATCTCCGGCAAAAAGCGCCAAGAGGGAAGCGTGGTGGTGTGGAACCACTGGCGCTACTTGGTTTGTAAAAGCGGGCTTCTCCGAAGAACCTTTGGCGAGCCCCCGAGAGATTACTGTAGGTACTTCACATGCAACGGAAGCTGTGTTCGAGGCGTCCAGTGTCGGTTCATTCACGACATGAGCCGCATGGCCTTGTGCCGCCATTATTTGGCCGGCAGGTGTCTGGGGCACTGTATACTTTCTCACGAGGCCAGTGAGTACAACACTCCGGTGTGCCGGTACCACCTAGAGGACCGGTGTTCGAATGCCCGTTGTAACTTTTCCCATGAGCTTCCGGCGCACGCCCGAGACTCGGACTTCAGCATATGGACATGTCGCCCGTTTGCAGTGGGCGGGTGGTGTGACCGCGGCCGGCTTTGCCCGTTCGCCCATCTATACAATTGCCCCGATTACGAGGAAAGCGGCTTGTGTCCGCGGGGCAACTCGTGCCCATTGACACACACAATCACCAAGCGGGTCCAGCGGATGATGGCGGAGCCCACTGAAGTATGCAACGTCTTGATTCCGTGCGAGTCGTTCGAACCACAGAATACGATTGTTAGTAGTTATAGCGTCGACCCAGCGGTCTTGTTTGTCCATCTGGGGAAGTTGGGGTTTTCCATAGACAATGCCGGTCTGAACTTGGTCCTTGATCTCGATCTGTCAGGAGATGAACATGAGGACGCAATCACGAAGACTCCTTTTTCGCTTGCGTGTCGGCCACAGCCCGCTGAAGCGTTAACCCTGACCAAAACAACGAAAGGAGAAAAACAATGAAAGGAGAAGGAAAGAAACTATTAACAGAATAAGGAAGGAGGGTAAAGAAGAGCAATGCCTGGTGTATCAAAAAACCAGGGATCATACTACCTTCCAGGGATCATACTACCTAAGCCAGGGATCGTACTACCTAAGCCAGGGACCAAACTACCTAAGCCAGGGACCAAACTACCTAAGCCAGTAATCGTACTAGCAGGTTTTTAGACTGCAAGGTTTCGTAGCTCCCCCAATTCCCACACTCCAGGCTCAGAGCTCAAATCAGCGCCTTTGGGCTTCTGGCGGCTACGATCTCATGACCAGGAAAAAAAAGTGGCAGTCAAATATGAGCGCGGGCCTGGCAAGCGAAATAAGAAGCCAAAGTGCCAGGAATGCCCCTCACTTATTCCTGCCACCCGGCAAAAAATATAAAAGCGGCAGGCTTTGCCCATATTCCTTATTCGTGTTTCAGGATTCAAGTGGCTGTAAATCGGCAATCAGCGCGGATTCTAGCCCAGGTTTAAGCTTCTTTGCACCGGCAGTGATGTGCGAATTATAGGCAACTGGCCGTCACTCTTAATGCGGGCTGGGCTTCCACTTGGCGAGTTTCTTTTTCCCGGTTTTTTAGGGGGCCGGCATGGCTGCAAATAATCGCGGCTGCGCACACAAAGCCTCAGCCGTTTCACTTTGTGTTTCCATCTTATCGGGCAGGTTGCGAAGCGCGTGCATGTGTGTGTTTGTCTTTTCGAACCTCAATCATATAAAGCAGACAGATATCTAAACCTTGTTTTTTGTCTTCTTCACTTACTCGGAAACCCCTTCTCCTTTGTCGACCTGGCGTGACACAGGTCCCTATTTTTTTCTCTCTCATTCACAGAGATTCAAAGCACCAGCACCACGGCACGAAGCTTGCATCAATTAGATAATTACTATCATGTCTGTGCTGGACATTCTGCCAATCGAATATGAGTCTTTCCTGAAAAGCTACTACATGATCTCTCGGTTGGGTTTCGGCAGTTTTGGATGTGCCATTTTGGCAAAGTACCGGAAAAGCATCTCGGACTTATTGGCTCCTCAGCCACACAAGCTCGGCACTCTCTTGGAACCCTTAAAGTATGCGTCTTCCACAAAGCCACACGCGGATGGACTCGTGGCTATCAAGGTGATGAAGAATCAATTGAAGAAGCCGAGCGACTATTTGAATGTCAATGAAATCAAATTCATTCTCTCGGTGCCGTCTCACTCGAACTTGCTTCAGATTTTCGACCTTTTTATCGACTCCGCTAGCGGGAAACTCAACATTGTCATGGAGCCAATGGATCAAAACTTATATCAGTTCATACAAAAGCACGAAGGTCGCGCCATCGCCCCTTGGGTGATCAAAAGCATGCTTGCCCAACTATTGGGCGCAATCAAACACATCCATTCCCACGGCTTTTTTCATAGAGACGTGAAGCCTGAGAATATTTTGGTATCTTCCGCGAAGCACTACTACTACAAGAATATCCCTCCCGGAAAGGAGAACGATATTTATGTCTTGAAGCTATGTGATTACGGTCTTTCGAGACACGTCACAAACACAAAGGATCTCACCCAGTATGTCTCGACTAGATGGTATCGCGCACCAGAAATCCTCTTGCGCCGGCGAAGCTATTCCCGACCCATTGATATTTGGGCATTTGGCTCTGTGGCTGTTGAGTTGGTCAATTGCCGTCCGCTTTTCGCCGGTCTCAATGAAACTGACCAAATCTGGCAAATATTGACCAAATTGGGGCATCCACTATTCCAAGGTCGATGCTCGGAAGACTTGGGAGGGGTCTGGCCTGAAGCTGTGCAATTGGCCGATAAGTTGGGTTTCATCATCCCTTACATTGCTGGTCAGACAATCCAAAGCATATTAAGAACAGACTTCCAAGACTTGGCGGAGGCAATCCAGGCATGCTTTCTGTGGGATCCTGAGGCAAGACCAACTGCGGATACATTGAGTCGGCATGCCTATTTTCGAGGGACCATCCCTGACGATGATTCCCCACAGCCATTTTCAGAACCCTCGTCACCCTTGAAAGTATCTCCATTGGAAAATAGTCTGGCATATTTGCATGAACAGGCCTCTTGCTCGAAGAGTAAAGGCAATCCTCTCAAGGTGTCAATTCTGCAGTCCGATCGGAATTCCAGACCAAGAAAGGCGGAGCTCTATAGCGATCCTCTATACTTTTTCAAGACTTCCAGCGAGTCTTCTGATGAAATCAATGAGAACGTGAGCTCAAAGAATCCTTTTTCAAATCTTCAGGCGACAGACAAAAAGTACGAGGAGCTCGACCCTTTCGAATCGGAGCTTGTCAAGCGGGCGAACCCGCGCTTTGATGACGCAGCATTGCAAGCAGACACATCCTTTGAGAGTCATGAGATTCTGTGCTAGAATAAGGTGAGTTTATATTCACAAATACAACACCAGCTTTTGAACCCACCACTTTTCTGGCTAAGATTTGGCATACTCTCCGTAACACATTTGATAGTTTTTTGCGGTCTTTCGTGCGGAATTTTTTACCCCGCATTACACTTTTGGGAGCTTTACGGGAAACCAATGTGCACAACATTCAAGCTACGGCCGCACAACATACAAGCTACACAAAACAACAACAATGTGTATCTTGATCACTGCAACAGATCATCCCGACTATCCCTTTATTGCTTGTTCGAATAGGGATGAATTTTTTGCACGGCCAACACAGCTTGCCACAGTAAGAGATTTGCATACCGGGGCCCGCATTTTGTCGCCACTTGATCTCGGGAGAGACGAACATGGCACGTGGATTGGAGTGACCTCTGAAGGCAGAATTGCCATATTAGTCAATTACAAAGAGCCTGAATTTGTGCCCAGCAAAGTTTCAAGAGGCATTCTTCCCATCGATTACTTGTCATCCACGCTTAGCGACGAAGAATGGTATAAAACCCTTGATGATAATTTGACCAAGAGTGCGTGTACTGGAGTTCCGGTGAGTCTTAAAGATATTGGCGGATTCACATTGATCTACGGGAAGCTCGAGGTTGACCCTGTGCTGGGGAACTTGATTCCTTTGAACATCATGAGCAATCGTGGCGATCGCGGAAAGATTCATGTGACAGGGCCAGATGAAGGTGGCCTTCATGGAAAAGTCGCGAGACAAAAGCATTTCTCGGTTTCCAACTCGCTTTACTATGAGCCGTGGCCAAAAGTGAAACTCGGCGAGGCAAAACTTGCCGAGTTGGTGAGCACAGCTGTTGAGAAGTCGTACAGTCGGGACGAGTTGGCAGAAGCGTGCTTCCAGATCCTATCTACCGACACATACAATCCAACCATTAGATACAGTGGGGACGAGTTTTCGGAGGCCAAGCTCGAAGAGCTTTGTAATTCTATTTTCATCCCCCCTTTGGAAACTAAGTCGGCGACGGGAACTTCGCCCGAGTTTTATGGTACTCGCACCCAGACGGTAATCATGTTCCACAAGTCTGGTGTGATCCATTACTATGAGCGGGACTTGTACGACAGCGAGTCGAGGGTACAGCGTGTGAAGAATCAGCACTTTGTTTTTTGACCTGATTAGGAAGGCGTGAGTTTGTCTGGAGATGGTGTATTCGGCGCTCAGCGCTGGTGAAAGTCGATGAAAACAACCTGTGTCGATGTTATGAGGGCCCTTTCTTTTCGTCCAAAACGTGGGCTGGCAGGCGCCACGAAATTATAAACTGATATATTTATTACTCTACTATCCGGATGGGGTATGTAGCCACGTCCGGCATGCATCTCGCAGGTTGTGTCTGTGCTTCCGGGCACACCCGCTACAACTTACGTTCCCATTCTGATCATATGCAAATTCCGGGGATTAAATGTCCCAGGCCCCAGGAAAGAAAGACATGGACCTCTGACAAGGGCCGGGAATTATGTGTACTGCATGCCATACGTCACGTGATGTTGTTCCGAGGGCTGGTGCCGATCTCGTGGGCAGATCCGGACCTCAGAACGAGCCGAATTTGCACCTCATCCCAAGCAGCAATGACCATCCGCACCAACTTGGAGCAGCCGTTGACATCGGAGTATCACGTGACGCTGGCACAGGGTGCTGCAGACAGTCCGCTTTTAGTGTTTATCCCCGGAAATCCCGGGCTCATTGACTACTACACGACTTACTTGGACTTGATCAGCGTCGAGTACCCGGACCACGACATCTTGGCAATAAGCCATGCCGGATTCCAGACATCAGGCGACTTTGTCGCTGATGCCGCGGCTCAGAAATACGTGTTCTACGACTTGGAGTACCAGATCCGCCATAAGTGCAGCATCATCAAGAAGTATATTGCGCAGGGCCATACTCGACTCAGTTTTCTCTGCCATTCCGTGGGGGGCTACATAACTCAGAGGGTGGTGGCTCGGCTTCTTGCAGACAAAAACGTCGGGCCCAAAATCAGCATCGAATTCATTGGCTTGGTGTGCCCGACCATCGTGGATATTGCCAAGTCAGATTCCGGGGTGTTTTTCACCAAGCTCTTCACTTACTTGCCGTTAATACAGCTTGCCGTTTGGTTTTTGGTGGTACTCCAGACCATTTTCCTGGACTCGCTTGCCAGGAAAATCATCAGCAAGCTTGTCATCGCTCGTCCCCAGGCCACGTGTGATAAGCTGAAGGAAGCCTGGCAAAACTCCATCAGGGCCACATTCAAGATCTACAAGTCCAAGCGCATAACCCGCCAGACGCTCGAGTTGGCCCGCGAGGAGCTCCAGGTTATACACAGGGACGACGACATAAATGACTGGTTTTTCAATGAGCTTCCCGCCTCTCATGGAACCAGGCTTTGGTGCTTTTTTGCAGCAAGCGACTACTGGGTCCACGACAATCTGCGGGACTACATATTGGGCCGGTACCACGATCAGGACAACCTGCACGTGCGGTTCCAAATCGGAGAGCCCAGCACCAAAAGCACGCCGGCCATCACCCACTCGTTCTGCATCGACCAAAGCGTCGAGTTCGCCGAGATCACGTGCGCGGCTCTTCGGTTTAAGGCTTGATTTTGACCCATTTTCCAGCGTAGATGTGTTGCAGAAGGGGACAGCTGGGTCCTGAAGTCTATTTCCCGGTCCGTTTCATGGGTCCTGTATCCGGCCTGACGGGTCGGTCCTTATAGGGCCAATCCTTATTGCGTAGGTCCTTATTGGGTATGTCCTTATTGGTCGATCTGTTTTGTTGGCCCCTGCTGCATAACGCATCTAGTTTCAAACGCCCATAAAATGGGCGTTCATTTGTTGACAGGCACCGGAGACAAAAGTCCGAGGTTCTTTATGCACGTCAAGCCCTCAGCAAAGAGCTATCGGCACATGATCTTCCTAGTGAGGCGGGCTTTTCTTTTATATGCGGACGAGCGGCTTTCTACAGGAACATTAAGAACGAAGACCAGAGACTACAAGCAAGATATCAATTCAGAAACATGCAGAAAGACGAGTTGGCAGAAAATTCCAAAGACAGGAGACTAGAGAGGACCAAAGAAAAACAAGAATAGACTCAACAAAAGAAGCCACGACGGTCTTGCTCATGCGCCAGCCGTTCCGCGTATACCGTGACTGAACGGCAGCTGACTTCGAGTCACGTCTGTGTGCACGACGCGCAGATGACTCGCTCCTTCGGCAGGACATTGGCGGGCTGTGACAGGGTGAGAAATCTTATTTATTTCTTTTTCAAATGCCCAGAAGTCTCCGAGTCTTCTTTTGGCCGGTGACGTCGCGCAAGTCTTTTCAAGAAATGGTGCAGGCAGGTTCAACCTCCTAATTCAGCTGGTCGTTGGATTATATGTAAATCTTACCAAAACAAGCGATGCGTGGCTCAAAACATGACATTGCCGCTAAGGTCAAGACGGCGTTTTCTCCTTTTTAGCCGTGTGTGATATCCCCGCCTTGCAACCGATGTGGAGCCGCAATTCTGGTTTGGCTTGTCTTTGCAATGGGGATTCCCAAATACGACTAGAGAATGGGAATCTTAATTCCGGAATTCCATGTCTCTGTAGGGTCACTCTATGCGCATAAATTTTATTGTAAGCATGGGGTGGAAAACCGGAGCAGTCGTAGTGAGCTGAAACGTGGGTTTATTGGCCCAGCCGAACCCAACTTTTTCCCAGATCTTATCCATTCAACAATGTCTCCGATATTCGCACCGGCAAAGAAACAGGAATGCTGAAGTAAGAATCTCGAAAATTGGAAGCTTCTATATTTCACGTGTGGTCAGTCAAGGGCCCTCCAAACCCAAAGTGGCTCAACTCGCTTGGTCCTGCCCTGCGCCTTTGGGACCTGCAATTATAATTCCCAGGGATTCCGGGCCGCTTTCGACTTTCCCTGAAAGAAGTGATTATTTCACCTCTCATAGGTTCCAAAAATCGCCCGCTCATGTTTCGTTTGTTTATTTTTCACTGATGCACCACTAATTAGGCTCAAGGCTGTTACGTGCTCATGCTTGTTTTTTGCTACTTTGAGCCAATGGCCCAGCGCGCATGGTTCATACCTCATGCGGAGAAGCT